GTGCCAGGTTAAGACCTTTTTATTTAATAACCTTCAAGTAGCATTTGGATACCTCTTAAGCAAGCACTGCCAGGCTAAAGTGACTTCAAACTTTTAGGGCTTATCAGTCATTGCTGTTATGTGCCACCAAATCATTTTTGGCTTCTTGTGACCCTATGAATGAGCACCCTCCAAAATGTCCCATCCATGACAGCGCTGCTCAGCTCTAGCTAATCCCAAGCTTTATGGACTCAAGCTATCTCATATTTGGAGAGCCTGTTTGTACAATGCATTATAGTTTGTTGTTGTCAGAGTTGTTTACAGGTCATTTAGTTATGATGTGACACTCCAGTTTCACTTCTTGTAAATGGCATTTTCAATTAGATTTTTGAGGATGGGAATTAATTATTACTTAGACAGTGGGGGGGAAAACACTTTTTCAGTTGTGTAAGTGCACTATTCCATAGTGCCATCTTGATGTTATATAGCAGAAAAGGAGAAAGGAAATGCTCTGTGTACTATGGATCTTAATTCTGTGACAAAACCGAAAAGTAGATGCAGTGGATTAACAGCCTTATATAGAAAAGCTCTTAGATGAAATACGATTGCTTATGGATGGATCTTTAAAACTAGAAATGTATCCAAGAATGTAATGTAGATCAAATGACGTTAAAAGCTAAACAAGGTTAGTGGAATGGGTCAAGTGAACAGCCATGAGAGGACCAAGGGCAATATAGTAAAGCAGCCAGGCAAGTTTACACAATTATTAGTAGTCCATGAAAGCCTATGATAAATGTTAACATTAAAGGTGCAATAAAAATCGTGTACATGGAATAGATGGACCTGTGGTCTGATCCAGCAGGGCTTATGTTTTTATTGCAATTAATAAATAAACCTTCTTTGAATAACATGCCTTTGGTTCATATGCTTCACATGGCATGATATGGGCTAACAGGGAATTAATTTTATGTTGAAATAATCAGAATTCAATCCTGAAAGTCAGGAAGAAGGCCAGTGAAAGGCCACCGTAGCCCCTCTTCCAATCATCCAATTTTGGAATAATATGGGAAATGTGATCTGGCGATACGCTAGTCACTTTTCGACTGTGGGTTTTCCATTCTCCAGCACAATACATGCAAGAAACCTTTTCCCCTCCGCTTTAGTAATGGGCTAGAGCCATGCCTTGCCCAGCCTCCGCTCCGCTTGTTCCTTTGCCTACTGCAGCGCGCAGGCGTCATCCCTGCTTCCCAATGTTATTCCGAGCGTTTCACCCAGCAAACACCTCCCCACCGGGAGGGAGGCACCTGCGCGGGAGGAAAGGCCAACAGCCAGCGAGCAGGCCGACCGGGACAGCAAAGAACCCCGCAAGGTGAGAGGCGCCCGACCCCACCCAGCTTCGCCACCCTCCGCCTTCGCGTTCTAGCTGTCACGTGAGCTGCCTGCCATTTCTCCCTCGGGCTCGGATGGAGGAAGCCAGTGTCGGTCACGTGACTTGTTGGGAGTCTGTGTTGTTTTGCCACCGCTCGGCCGAAAGTGTCTCGCGCTCCTCCTTCCCTTTCTCCCACCTAAGACAATCGGAAAGCCACGGCGCAGCCGCGGGAAGAGGTAGGGATGGGATAGGATGGGGCGGGGGCGTCCCGCTCTCAAGTCTGAGAAAGGTCTGTGGAGGGGGGCGGGGCCCTCGCCGCATACTCCGGGCGGTTCGGGAGCATCCGAGCAGGCGCCGCCCGCCCTCCGCTTCGGAACTCGGCGGCGCGCGCCTTGGAGTCGGTGGGCGGAGCCCCTTCCTGCCAGAGGCTCCCTTTCCCCCCTCACGTCCCGGCTAGGCTGTGGTAACTTGCTTCGTCGAAATGAATTTTATTAGAAACAATCCTCTCAGCAGTCTTTATTTATTTTACTTTTATCCCGCCCTTTAGAGGAAATCTCCCCCAAGGCAGTTCACCATAAAAGCAGTTTAAAAATACAGACAAAACATTCTAATTACAAGAACTAGAAACAGCCTCAGCTTAAAACAGTTACAAACCTTTCTCACAACACTTAATATGATACAACATGAAGAAGATGGATTTAGTTTCATTGGCACTTGTTAAAAATGAGCTTCTCCTGTTGCTTATTAATCTGCACAGGATTGATGGTTTACAGGAACGAAAAGACAATCATGATCATAATAAACTGTTAAGTATGTTAAGTAGAGAATATAATTGGTATGTTAACTCATCATAAAATAGTATGGTATAATCCTGTGCCTATGCAGGCAAAAAAGACCTATACCACCTAGCTTTCCTCATACTGCCACACTGTGAAGGAAATACTAGGAGTTGTGGGACATTTTTGCCTAAACATTGTATTAAACATGAATAAGTTTGTGCTCTTAAACACTCAAAGCACCTGGGCAAATAGAAATGTCTCCACCTGGTGTCACAAGGTTCTCAAAAGAGGCTTCAAGCAACCCTGTATGGTAGTTGCAGGCATAAAAGTCACATAAAGCATTCAGTTTCACCTTAAAAGAATAAAATGCAAAGAACAAAATGCTAAAACAAACCAGCCCTCTAAAATCGTTTCACAATGGATACATTTCCTCATCTGGGAGGGGGAAGTGATGGACATAACCTTCCAATATCATTTGTAACATTTTTCATAGGATCTGTAGCTTTTCTATTTTGCCTATGTTAATTTCAAAGTATGTGGTTCTCCATGTAATGGATGAGGGAAGCTTTCATGCCATTCACTTTGCATTTACTCAATAATATATTTTTTTACTATTTACCATCTGTTTAAAGAGGGAACTAGGAATTAGTGAAAGCTTTTTGCTGGATGAGGTGGGCAGGGTGGCAATTTTTGCTATTTTCTCCTTTCCCTTGCAGCTCCCAACACTACTATACCATGTTCTGGAGGATCCCCCAACCCTCCATATCAGATTTGTAGGGGTCTAGGAGACTGCAGGGGAAATGGATGAAACTCCCCCCATGAGAACATGGGGTTTGTGGAGTGTGCCCCATTTCTTTTAGAACCATATCAGAACCAGCACAAATGCTTCCAGCATGGTTTGTGCTCCTTGAATTATGCCATCACGTGTAGCTGCCTATATGGGGTCACATATAGGTTATCCAATAAGTACTCACTGCTTTTTTTCTTATCTTTCAAGCTCCGTTGCCCCTTTAACATTTTAAGGTAAAAGTTGTTGTTCCTTACTCTCTGAACAGAGATAATATCAAGACAGCAATTGCTAGAATTGCTTTTCAGCAATTTTAAAATAGATATTCTACAAAAGGAAAAAGGAAGGGAAGAAAGGGGAAAGAAGAGAAAAGCAAGCAAATTCTCAGCGGTATCATCTGATCTGAATTGGTAGTCCTCCCTGTCTTTAGTGCATCTACAGAAACAACATGGAGGTCCTTAGATCTCTGGCAGATAGCTGGAGGCCAGCATGTGCTTACCTTCTACCAGTGGGTCCAGAAAAATTGACAGCTGGAATCAAGTGTTCCTTCTGGTAGGAAAAGGGGAAGCAGGCCTCCTGTAACTGTTCCTCCCTTGCTGTGATGTTTCTGGGAGACAGAACCTTGCAGTGGCTCATGAATGGACCACAGTGTGTGTGCTTTCTGCTCTGCAGTCCTAGAAAGAATACTATACAGATACAAATATTCTGTATTCAAAGTTTTGTTCTTTGGAACTTTAACACAATTTAGGGTGTGTGCCCACTACAGTGACATGTTCAGGATTTTTCCACAACCATGAGAGACAAAACTTTTAGGGTGCAGGACTAAAAATGACTCGCTGGCTAATACTGGGACCTTTTACCCAGTGCGCAGGACTGTGGTTTAAGTGAAGATTTAATTTTCTGCATTTTAAAACCTCTCTCTGTGGTTTCTTAGGTATTTATGTTATCTGGCTATTGTTTACATTTATTGCTTTACCTTTGCTATGATTGGAGCCAGTAACAATTCAAATTTACTTTGCTAATGGACAAAAATTTATCTAAGGATAGATCAGCTTTCTTATGTAAATGATTAACAGAGGAGAGCATAATGTTATGAAGAACTATTACAGCTTCTCTTTTTTTATTGCAGGACACATTGTATGACAAAATGGTGAAATTAATTTGCACTTTGGCTGATCACAAAGATGATGTCAACTGTTGCGCTTTGTCCTCTTCCTACCTGGCTACATGTTCCTTGGACAAAACTATTCGGCTATATTCTTTAAGCAACTTTGTGGAGCTACCTTATTCCCCTTTAAAAGGCCACACTTATGCTGTCCATTGCTGCTGCTTTTCTCCTTTAGGAAATATTTTAGCTTCATGTTCTACTGATGGCAACACAGTTCTGTGGAATACTGAAAATGGACTAAAACTGGCAGTGTTGGAGCACCCCTGCCGAAACCCAGTAAGAATTTGTCGATTTTCTCCCAATTCTACATACCTAGTTTCAGGAGCAGCTGATGGAAGTGTAAATCTTTGGAACGTTCAGTCCTTGAAAGTGTATCGGTGAGTATGCCAGATCTGAGTTAATCAGAAAGATGTTAACCCACATCTTGTATTTGTAAAAGTTATTAGATCTGCCTCTATATTGCATTATTGTGATGGAATAATCCAATAGACTCCATTTTACTGTAGTAAAGATGAAGTCTGTATAACTTCTACTGATAATAAAAATAGTGATAACCATGATCCTTGGGTTTCAGTTCATTAAAATGAATCCTTGGGTTCCAGGTATTGCATGAAACATCTGCACAAAGTAATGATACTTTCTGTAGATATTTTATGAAAATAAAATTTTGTTTGTTTATGGGAGACTGTTGTTTATGGGAGACTGTTGTTGTGAAGGTTAGTGCTTTGACATAAAGGCAGTGCTCAACATAAATATTTAAACTTCTAGCACCAGTTTTAAAATGGTATTTTAGGCAGAAATTCTGTGCAGATACAAAACCATTTCAGATTCCTCAGTCTCAGCCTCAGCTTTTTAGGTGCTCTATTGTAATTCATTGTTAAGAGAGAGAATATTAATATTATGAATACTTTGATGAATGAGGAATTAATCATGGTACCTGTAAAACATAACTTTTTGCATTTTGGAAAAATAAATTAATATGCATGATATCTAACATAAACCTGGTTACATTGTACAATTAAAATATTAAAGGTTGATGAACTTTATTCATGGAATTAAGTGTCCTCACTTGGTGTAATACTAAATCATGTTTTACTATTGCAGATAAAGCCTCAGCGAGCCAGGAGCTCATAGACTACTTCCTCTTCAGCGTGGCCACAAGGTGGAGTTCAAAGGCTTTTGCCTCTGTTTAGCTTAATTGCGATTTACCCTCATTCCAACTCTGGCAAACAGTGGTTAATCCTGATTTGGTTGGAAGAAATAAAGGAGCTTCAAGACCTAGTTTATGAGGCTGCCATCTTTCAATCAATCATACTCAAGTCTAACTTGCATTTTTGAATTTGGACAACGGATTAAATTGCAGTTAATCTAAAACAAAACAGAGGTTTTGAAAGAGAAGGGATAGGTAGTATATAAACCTATAGCATGCTGAGGCTTCTGCCCATAATGTTACATCATAACTTAGCATTGCATCTGTACCACAAGTAAATAGAAGGGGATAAGTATTGTATTTTTTTAGTTATGTGATTTCTTTTCTTAGATTTTGAAAATATCCTCCTTTTATATTTATTCTGTTTGTGACCATCTTGTTTTTTATTCAGTCTTGTAACATTTCCAGGACTTTGTGCTTCCAAATTTCAGATTCCTTTATTATTGTCTTTCAGATCTGGTAGTGTTAAAGATGGCTCTTTGGTAGCTTGTGCATTTGCTCCTGATGGAAATTTCTTTGTGACTGGATCTTCATGTGGAGATTTAACCATCTGGGATGACAAAATGAGGTGCTTGTATAATGAGAAAGCTCATGATCTTGGAGTTACCTGTTGTGATTTTTCTGCACAGCCGCTTTCTGGTTAGTTAACTTGTAAATTAAATAAGTTTTTAAATATTTCATTTTCAGCCCTACCTCTTATGCATATTCTTTGTTGTTAGTCCCTGAGGGGAAGGGAAACAGGCTGTTCTTGTGCTGGGCATGTTTATGGAAAAATATCTGAAAAATCTAAAACATTTCCTAGATGACTGCCATATTTATATTGTCAGTAGTATACTTTGTGAAGAAAGGCTACCTGTGAGAAGGAGAATTATTCTAAGAAGTTACAATTTTATGCTATTTTCCACATTGAACTCATTTTGCATTTTCAGTGTCTTTAAAGACAACAAAGTGAAAAGAATAAGCAAGTCTTTAACTCTATATATACTTACAAGTAAGTTCCATTGAAAATAGGAATTACTTCTGATTGGTCATGTATAGCTATATACCTGAGAAGCCCTGTCGGATGCTTTAGTTAAAGAATATTTGAAATGTCATAGTTCAGGACATTCTTTCCTTCCTTTTTGCAATGGTCTCCCCTTTCTTCATCCTAACCCTGCCCCACACTTGAGAATGTTTTAGTAGCCTGAAATAATCTATCCACAATTAACTCATCACTGGTTCTCCTATGGGTTCCCCATAACAAGTCTGAATATTCCAGAGTCTGCCCTCCCTGTGTGCTGGATCCAGTATAACTTAGGATCAGCCCAGAGTTTCACAGAATTTCCTTGGCAAAATTCTAAGCCAACTGAGAAATGGCAGCCCTCTGTGTAATGATAACTGTCCTTGGAGGTGGAAAATGAGTGCCCTGGAGTGAATGCTGCTTCAGGGAATGTTCTTCACTATAGGAAGATAAGAATGGATCTGTTGCACCCTTTGATGATTGAACCTGAAGTTAGTGATTTAGTTCATATGTAATTCTAAGCCATGAGTCCTGTAAATGTGCTGTGCCTCCCCACAACCTCCACCTCACCTCCACTTAGAATAGAAGGGTTGGAAGGGGCCAAGAAGGACATCGAGTCCAACCCAGATAACTATGCATTTTCTTCTTGAATGTCTTCAGTCAGAAAGAGCACACAGCCTTTCTTGGCAACTGGTTCCACTGTGGTATTGCTTTTACAGTTAGGAAATTCTTCCTTGTGACTAGCCTGCACCTGGTGTACTGCAGTTTAACTTTGTTGCTCCTTGTCCTACAATATGAGATGAACGGGAATAGGTCTTTTCCTTCTTCCTTATGATAGCCTATCATGTCACCTCATAATTGCCTTTTTCTCAAGGCTGAACAAGCCTAATTCTTCCCTCCTCTCATCGTGAGACTTACTTTATCATCTTTGTGGCCCTCCTCTGAGCCCTCTCCTTTCAGCGTCATTTTTAAACCTGGGTGCCCAAAACTGAACACTGTATTCCAGGTGAGGTCTGACTAATGCAGAGTAGAGGGAAATGAGTACTTGATTACGGGTTTGCAGCAAAGTGTACTTTGTCAAATTAGCAAATTTAGTTTGCCAGTAGTTTGTGCAAACCAGGATTAAACCTTTATGAGATTTTTCATTGATACTGCTTTGCATATTTCCTAAATGGTGGGGGCACATTTGACCACTAGCCTGTCAATTGAGAAGTAAACAGATTATTATTTTTACTGTTGTTTCATTCTTACAACTTCTAACATTTTTGACACAATATATACATTTTTATGCTTTCCTTTTTTGCTTATATAAGTAATTTTTTTAATTTATAGAAGCATCTTAAAATATTTCCATATAAGATTTTTCTTGGGACCTGCAACCCTGATCGTATATAAAAACTTTAAATAAAATAAAATTAAAAATAAATAAATTTTAGTATGGGAATATAAGAATCTGAGCACTGGGCAATTTTGTTTTCTCTCCTTCTTTCCAACATTCCTTATTGTTTCACTCTTCTCTAGCCCAGGTCCATCCTCCACAAATCTGATAGATCTGTTATTGGGCCATCTGTACAGCAGTTTAATTAAATCAGATGACAATTAAAATAATATATTTAATTGGTAGAGGTGTTAGGCATAGATTCTGTTTACAGAGTAAAGTGCAATCCTATGGATATTTAGGGGGGAAAGCCCTACAACTTTCTGTATTCCCCAGTCAGAATAGGAAATAGCTCCGATTCTTTCTGATGGTCCTATTTGCATGAACGAGAGCTTTTTGGTACAAATGGAGTTGTCCCCCACTCCCCATCTGGTTTAGAACTTTGCAGGAGCAAAGTGTTAAGCCCAGTCATACTTAGGCCCAAAATTAGATCATGAGCCTGAGCTGAAATTTAAATGTTAAAATCTATTCTTGCAATTACTGATTTTTATGAATGGTCCTGTGCCTCTCTTGACACTCAGTCAACTGTTACTCAGATTCTTCAGAATCACAGACAGAAGACATTGTATAGATTGCTTCTGCTCCTTGATGGGAGGATTCCATGCCTTGACATAGGGATAGAGTGAGTCTTCTTGCACTCAAGGCAGTCAGTTCAGCTCTTGTTTTGTCATACTCTGAACAAATCATTTGCTTGGTGCACTTGTGTGTAGCTGAAAGCTAATCCTAAAGCTATCACTTTAGGAATCCTAAGACATCATTTGCTGGTTGGACCTAGTGAATCATATAACAAATCCTGGCAAATTAAGTAATTTCTGTAAAGTCAAATCTTTATTGCACTGGTGTACATACCTTGATTATGATTTCTGTTGTAGCCAGGAATCTCTATATCTAATCTTTTAAAAAAATCGATCAGAGACAATCTCATGGATCTCCATTTTCTGTTGATACAGATTTCTTTTTTTCACTGTTGTCTGTTTCTTTGACTTGTATACAAGCATTATAGTGATTTGCCTTTGATTTTGACAGTGATGCACTCAACTATAGGCATTTTCCCCATTTTATTCTCTTTTGGGAAAACTGCTAAAGCTATTCTGTCTTTTCATCCTGCCAGCTACATCATGTTTTCCCCTTCCCCTGTGGTTGTTTACTAATTGGCATCTTAGAATTGAATGGGTCGTATAAATAACTCTTTCTTTCCTTTTCTGTCAAATATTTTTTGGTTCAGTTGCACAACACTGTTTTGTTCATGGTCAAATATCCTGACAAAAATCTCAGAAGAAAGGATGGGTTACAGATACGTTCCAGAATAAAAATCTGCAGAGGCAGAGTGCTAGCTTGGACAATTTGAGAACTCATGTCCTAGACATTCTAGTTTTGGCTGCTTCCTAATTTGTTGTGATGCTAAGAACTGTTTCTGTTCAAGGATGGAATGTTAGTAGAATGCACCACTATTTAAGCATGTATTGAAGAAATTTTCTAAGGAATCTTTAGAAGCACATGTTAATGGTGCAGCTCTCTAAAACTCATAGCACACTTTTCCCTACAGAGGGATAATTTTTCCCATTGAAGTTGCTGTTTGTTCCATTGCTTTGGTAGTTATACATCAACATAACAATCTTATTTCTGGACTGCTGGGCTTACCCTCCACAGAGTCCTCTCAATTTATGGTAGGGCTCGTTTGTTCTGGTCTCTATGGTTTAAAATTACTGTGTTACTATATGTCGAAGTTAAAATAAGCAGAACCTGCCTTACATCCACTGTGGCATCCTTCTGGGGCAAGTATTTGAGTTGGAAGTAGGTATTACTGCATTGTAGTGGTTCTAGTCCTAGTCAGAGGGCCATTTCCGGAAGGAGGTGTTTGGGGAGTATTGTTCAACTCCATGGATTCTCTAGCATGAACTGCATGAGGGATTTTCTGTCCCCCATGCTGTTCAACGTCTAAATGAGACTGCTGGGTGAGGTCATCCAGAGGTTTGCAATGTGTTGCCCTCAGCATGCAGATGCCCCATAGCCCTCTCTCCTTTTCATTGTCAGTAAGTGAGGTTGTGCATATGCTAAACCATGGGTCCTCAAACTACGACCTGCGGGCTGGATCCGCCCCGACATGCCCATTTATCCGGCCCGCCATAGAAGTTTTGGACTTGCTGAGGCCACACGCATGTGGTGAGGTGCCGGCTTGCTCTCAAGGAGATCGTTTTGAATCTCCTTGCAATCAGGGTGCTGCGGGGTGTGTGCACGGCGAGGCACTGGCTTGCTTGCACGGAGATCCTTTTCTCTAAGTGAGTCCAAAACGATCTCCTTGCGAGCAAGCTGGTGCCTCGCTGTGCGGCGGCTTGCTCTCAAGGAGATCGTTTTCTCTGAGTGAGTCCAAAACGATCGCCTTGTGAGCAAGGGAGATCATTTTGCACTTGCTCAGAGAAAACGATCTCTATGCCCCCCTGCCTGCACTGCCTTGGCGGCGTGCACCCATCGCCGGCACCTTTCAACTGGCCCTCTGTTCAAAAAGTCTGAGGACCCCTGTGCTAAACCAATGGTTGGCTGTGACATTGGACTGGGTGTAAGCTAGTGTGTTTTGTCTCAAATGTCTGTTTCTGGTAAGGCTTTTCAAGATATACCGGGTTATCCAGGTGCTTGAAGGGATTACTTCTCCCAGGTTTTTTTTTCTTTTACAGGGTCATTCTTCACTGTGTTTTTGGTTGTTTTTTTAATTTGTTGGTGTTTCTTTTGCTAATGTTTTATAGTATGCTTCTTGTGTTTCATTGTATTTTGTTTTTATGTATTGTTGTAAACTGCTCAGACTGCTTCAGCTATTGGGCAGTATAGAAAGAATGAAACATGTTCTCTTGGAAGATGCACAGGCATGTGTGTGTGTGTTCATAGGTTATCATATGAGTGGCACCTGTGAAAATACTCTGGTCCTCATGATTATGGATAAGCAGTCAATGATAACTGAAGCTGTGCATAACAAGCTTTGAATTGTGTCCCTGTTACTGAACATGCAGACGTTTATTAAAAGATTGGAAGCATTAATTTGTTCCTTTTCTGAGGCATTTCATTTTTTAATTAGGTAATAAACAAGATATTAAATATTTCCAGATGGCATCTTCTGGTCAAGATAGTATAATTAAGACATGGCTTATTTCACATGTTGATACAGGTATGTATGATTTTTAAATAATCTTCCCAAAATTATAAATTTTAATACTGCTTTGCTTTTGAATTAGCTTTTGCTTAACCAGTAACAAATATAATAGTTATGGTGGAGGCTATTCTGAAAACAGAGGGAAAAAGAAGTACTACCAGGGTAATAAATGCTAGCTACGTTCTAGTGAACAATCATGACTATAAGCTATATTTATTTTAGAGAAGGAAATGTATAAATTAACAATATACTAAAACAGCAGTAAAACAGTAAAAGGAAACCAAGGACAGGTTAAGAGGCATTAACAGTTCAAAGACAAGAAGTTACTTTTACAGGAATGCCAAAATCCTGTGCTGTGTACAGTGTTTTGTTGATTAACATAATTTTCTTTGTTCATTATTGGGGGTCCTAGTTGTTCCACATTCAGTACAGATAATCTGAGTCTCAAAACTTGTTCAAAAGAGTAATCCTAGGGGTGAGGTGCCTGATCACAGCAGCTCTATTCCATTGCATTGTCAGCAGGCTAGAAAGAGCACTGGAGCCATGCCTCCTCATCCTCATCTTCCTTTCCCCAAAGGGTTCTTCTCTACAGAAAGACAGACTAATTTAGAACAGCCTCAGAGCTAGTCTAACATTTTATATGTGCAGGTTGAGGGGACCATGGATCCATGTCTGCTCCTTCCCCACTCGGCACCACATTTGGCTTTCCCGCCATTAAACTGACATCTTGTGGTTTTAAAACATGAAACAGGGAATTACTGTGCTGTTAATGAGAAGCTGTTAAGTTGGACTAGTTAGCCCTTTTTACATAGTGACCTGCTTCATATGACATGACAGCCCAGCAGGGCAATAGGCCATTGTGGGTTGTTCTGTTGAGTGAACTGAGCAGTTTCCCAGGATGGGTTATTCATCATGAACAAGCAGACCTGAGAACCTACAGCTTGTTTTAGGGTTTTTCATAACTACAGTAGCTTGTGTTGACTAAACCTGGCAGGTTGATTTTATTATGGATTTCTAGAAGTGACTAGAGTGACCTGGCCAGAACTATAAAAACCCTGCTGCTCCTTGTAATCTCACTTGTGCCTCCATTTTACAGTTTTGCTGTGATGTGTGTGTTTCCCAGTCCCACTCACTGCTGTGCAATCCATATCACGCTGCAACAGCTGGTACCAGAAACAAGCCAGAATAGTGATGGGGAAGCCAAAAGTGGCTGGAAAGATGGTACTTTGCTAGTAGGTGTTGTTACCGTGGGTGTGCTTGCTTTAATGTGAAGCAACCTTTTTTAAAAGGGTGTTTGTTAGCTAGCAATGTAAGCACCAAAATGGATGAGGGGAATATAAGTATGTTCAGCTAAATATTGGAGAGGCAGAGGTACATTGGGAGGAGGTGTACTTGCTTTAGCGTAATGAGAAACAGCGTTTATTTTTTTAAGGTGTTTGTTAGTAGTAATGCAAGAGGGAAATATTGGCTAAATATCAGAGAGGCAGACTTGTAACTGTAAAAGTCCCTGAAATAAAAGAAAAGGTCAGGCTGGCAAACTCATTCCCATCTTCATAAGGCCTCAAATTCATTCCATATGGCCAACTGATTCAAGCATGTGGGTTCTTTCTCATGGTAGTCAGGAGTGCCAGGGGACCAATGACAGAAAGGCTTCTGACATAGGGATCGAGGTAACGGAGTTTGCCGCAGAGGGATGTGTCCTGGAGCCAGTGGAGGACTGAAGGAGAGAACAAGCCACAGTGAGGCCTGTCATCTGTCAGAAGGATGATGGGTCGCTCAGCTAACCTGTGGCAGCTTGTTCACAGAATGGCTTAGTGTGATACATGGAGCTGTCCTGTGGCTTTCCCTAGAAATAAATAACTAAATACCATGTATTCTGTCATATTTTAAATAGTGAGTTATTGAAATTTTCCAAGTGAAATAACTAATCGGAAAACAAAACCAAAAAACCCACTTCAGTGGTACCACAGTCTGTTCTTTGTGGTGCCTTGTCAATAAGTAACATCCTTTAAAATCAGTTTAGTCTCCTTTTAAACTGAAAAGTGGGGTGTGTGAAAATACACCAGGGCACAGTAATGGTCTCAAACATCTGGATGAAAATAATATTTCCATAATCCTGGGTAGTATGTTCCTTCTCTCTGTGTACTCATCCAACCCAAGGGTATGCTCATGTGTTGCTGACCATCAATTCCTAATGAATTTGAACAGTAAAGTACTTGTTAATGAGGCACCATTATTTTAGGTTGCCACTAGCAATTTCCCTAAGATGCATGATTACAGTGCTATAGCAGGACATAAAAATATTTCCCTGTGGTCATGTCATTCTCCTTCACAGGGCTGTCAGGAGTTTCTTTTGAGTAAATTGAGAGAAAAGAAACTGCCATCAAAGTAGAAAAAGGCTGCCTACCTACAGTGTGTAGTACCTCATTCATACTGAAGAGATGCCTAGATTCAATCACTATTTTTTTCACCTAAGGATCAGAAAAAAAAACTCCTAAAGAGCTGTTATATTCAAGATACAGAACATGGCCTAGCCATTCTTTGTCAAGCTGTCATCAGTCTAATCATTTTCTTATGTGAAAACAGGGATGAAGAGTGATATATAGGTATATATGTTTGTAAATCTAATATGATAAACCTGTGTTTAATAAAGTTTTTTATTTAATCTCTGTTCATTTTAATAGGTCTTGAACTGAAATATAAGTGTACATTAAGTGGACATTCTGCCCCTGTCCTAGCTTGTGCTTTTTCCTATGATGGGCAAATTTTAGTTTCTGGGTAAGAATCTTTGCTTCAGTTTTACTGCAGCTTTAGTCTCTCTCCTTGAGTCATTAAGGAAGAATCCAACAATGTCATTGTACCAATGCAAAATTACAATGCCTTAATTAAGAGACATCTAGTGCAACAGTTTGTGTGATGGCTTTTCCAGAGATGACATTGTCAGATCCTTAATTTCCTTTTTATATGTATAAAGATACTTCTTTATGTAATTTAAAGTAATGCAAAATGAACAAATATGGGACAGTTACAATGTCATAAGTGAATTGTGAAATTTAAGTTTTACTTTTCAGTAATGTAGAAGTTTATATGCAATTCTTGAAGACAGTTCATTTTCATACATGCAGTAGTCTCAGATCAAATCTGCTTGGAAATAAGGGCATCAGGCATGTTAGACTTGCTCTGCAGTTACTTAAAGGCATATATAGTAAAATATATGTGCATAATCTTCACCTTTTCTAGAGCCAACTTTGCTGTCATAATCCATGGAAAATGTAGGGGACATTTTCGTGTTAAACTGTATTTTAAACTGTAGTCAGTGGGTTTCACATGCCTGAAGATGCAAGCAGTGATACCACAGCTCCTACTGCACAAGTGAATAGCTGTTACAAAATAACTTGTAACGTATTAAATCACTCTTGTCAAGTTTTCTGAAATTTTGGCTCAAGCAGCTCTTGTATGACTCCTGTTCAGTGGGAGAAATACATCCAGAAAACAAGTCCAAGAGTTCAGCTAACTAGCGGAATCTGTACAGAATTGGCCTTCAGAACAGTTTGCTCCCAACATATTTCTGGTTTGGTCAGTCTCTTAGCATTAACTTGAAGTTGCAAAAGTGGCCAAATTCCATAGATGAGTGTTAAAGATGAATAAATGTGCTATGCTAATAACCAAATCACTGTCTAACAGTAGCACTAAGTACTGAAATCAGTGGCACTGGTAGTGTAACTTAGGGTGCAGTCCTGTGGCCTCTCAGAATTGTCTGGGTGGCCATAGGATTATTTGGAGACTTGGCTCTGTGGTCTTGGAACTGCGACTCGCAGTGCTGAGCCAATGCCCTGCCCCTCCTTCTCAGCCAGCATGGAAGGAACTGTGCTGGCTGCTTCTCTAAGGCCTAGCTGGAACTCAGGAACAAAAGGGGCATAATGGAATGGGGGGAAACCTTCAGCTGATGGCTTTTGATTTTTCCTGTTGGACTCTCAGCCTCTTTCCTTCTGTCTTCCTGGCACTTCATTCAGATAGCCAAAAGCACTCAGGACTCCAGTGGTAGAGATTGCTGCTACCACACCTTACTCTGTGCACTGGATCACGTAAGGCTCCCAAGTTCAGAAACTTACATGTATCCTCAGTGGAGGGTGTTGGATTGTACCCTTACTGATTGGTCCAGCTAAAAGCTACATATACGGATACACAGGGTTACAAATGCCCAATATACAAATGACCCCTACTTATGAACAAACTGCCATAAAGCCCATGAAGCATAGGAAGGATCAGAAGCACCTTTCTTTTGCTAACCCTAACCCTACCCTGGATTTCTGCCATAACCCTAAAATCTGGCATAATTCCCCATGCAGTACACCACTTTGCAAAATCCCCACTTTCCAGAGATTTTTCTGTCCAGCTCATTCTATCTGCCCCTGTCAAGCACCTTCCAGGGCTCAGAAGCATCAGAAGCACCTTCCTTTTGCTAACCTACCCTGGATTTTCTCTGTAACCCTAAAATCTGGCATAATTCCCCATGCAGCATACGGCTTTCCAGAATCCTCCGTTAAAAATTACTTTTGAAAATTGTGATCAGCAGAGAGAGTGAGGAGAAAGGAGGCACTGGTGTGTTGGGGGTTGTGGCTAGAGGTATTCATGGTTTTTCCACTTTCATAGGGTTCCTGTGCTGCTAACCCCCACAAACCTGGAGGTCCAGCTATACATGTTCCGATTTACATACAAATTTTACTTAAAGACCAGTTTCCATTTTCTCATGAATGGAACTCATTTCTGACTTGGAAACTGTCTGTAGTTCATAATCTCCAGTACAAGACAAATTTTGCCCTATTTTGGTTAAATACTTTTTTACATATGAACAATTTCATTTATTTTCAATTAGGTCTGTGGACAAAACTGTAATGGTTTTTGAAACTGTAAGTACTTGACAGGGTAAGAGAGAAATCATTATTGCTTAAGAATAATATACCTTTTTCTTTGAATGCTATTTTAAGAACTGTTGATTTTAAAAGGTAACAGTCACTTCTTTTATCTAATTCTATCTGTTTGTATTCTTATTAATATTTATTCCTATTTATTGTTCTTGTTAATGGATTGGTTGATTCTTATTGATTTTAATGTTGTAAGCCATCCTGAGACGTTGTCGTAAAGGACGACATATAAATGTTTTAAAGAAAGAATAACAATATTTTAAGAAATTCTAAGTGCTTCTGTTGCATGATTCTGATATTATTGTCATGCAAATTCAGATTTCACTCTTCAAACCATTCAAGGATGCCATTATTGTATTTTACGGTGAATTGTTGAGAAGCCAAGCACAGGACTTCTATGATAACTGTGATGTCTTGCCAGCCCAGTATGTAAACAATCCACACATCCACCAGCAATAAAACTAAAGTCCCTTAATGCTAATTGTCTACAAGATTTACAACTCTCTATAGATAAGCTTTCTAATAGCAGTCCTTGCTATACAGATGTTAACCCCCTAATGGCTTCTCTTCCCAAGCCCACGTGGGATCATTCTCCCAAGTCATGCCTTTCCTCCCTCCTACGTAATAAACCTTGCTGTTGTTGATATCTACATAAAATCCTCCTGTTCTCAGCTTTTGAAAAATCCACAAGGCCTACTGTGTCTTCTGTTTCTGACTCGGGGAGATCAGCATGGGGCGGGGGGGGGGGGAAGCAGTTTGCTCTGCCTCTTTCTGAATAGAACTTGCAGCTTCCTCTTTGTCATGACTCCCTGGCTCTTATAAAGGACCAGGCGGTTGCTCAACGTGCTGGGAGTCAGAGGAAGACGCAGCAGCTGGCTCTGCTGTCCCTATGCTGAGTTGTGGGGTTGCTTCTTGGACACTGGTCGTCAAGTGCAAGTCTTCCTCGTGAGTCACTGCTTCTGTCGGAGCTTCATGCACGACAATAACAAAGGTTACAAGTGAGGCAGCGAGCAGGTACTGGAATCAAAACCTGCACTTTTGTAAGCTGGCATCTGCAAGTGCTGGCCAAGTCACGTTCACTGCAGAAAGAGGCACAGAGCCCAGTGCCTCTTTGTGCATGGGGGAATAAGCAGTGAGGGCAGTGCCGATGATGTTGTAGGGCAGAGACTTGTCTCTCTTGCTTTTACCAGGCCCACTGGGTTTGGTCTGCAGAAGAATCAGTGCCTGGACCAAAAGCAGGTGCCCTGCCCTGTGTTGATCTTGCTTTAGACCTTGAGCTCAGCATAGGGGATAATGCTCTGGCATAGCAAGGTAACAAAATGTTGACATTTATCAGTGTATGTTAAAAAGGTTGTTTCGTGATGATCCAATCTTGTTTGAATACAACGAATAAACATACCAAACTACTTTTAAGAATTTCTTAGCTGTGCTCACTTGCAGCTAGAACAGAGTATTCGCCTCAGAGATGTTTCCTAGCAGGAAACGCCCGTGCCATGGGGGTTGCAGCAGCAGGGAGTGGGGAGCAGGGAACATGTGGCTGGCTATCCAGCTGCGCATTCCCTGCTGCCATGGCAGAGAGTGGGGGAGGCCCAGGATAGAGGCCCGTAAGGCCTACCTGGGCACTTCCGGGGAGGCCAGCAGTGGCTGGTAGCCTCTTGGAAAAAGCAGCAAGTGGGGGTTGACAAGTGCTTTGCTTGTAGTTGGGCTTGGCTCGTGACACATTGCCCCATCATGATTAAAATAATCTTGTCTCAGAAAGAAATAAAACAACCATGCAACTTATATTTGATGGGATAGTGTGTTTTGCAATCCTGGTCAGTCAGGCTGCTGAAGGAGTGCCCTACTTCTGAAGCAGCTTGTTTTGCCACTGTTGATTGTTATGCACACAGTTGGTTGTTGCTGAATTTAAGTCCACATAATTAAATTGTTGCTTGCTTTCAAAGGTTTATGTTGACTACCCCAAGCTATGCTGGTAAACAAATTGTGGAAAACTGTATTCTTAATTTGGGTGTTTTAATACTGTGTAATAATGTGCAAAAGCTGAACATGAATTACCTGTTTTCATACTTTAAACACATTGTTTTTTCCAGTTAGGCTTTGATATAAAGGTTATATTCTTTTTAATAATAGAAGTGGGAAAATATTCTGTCATTTCTTTATGAGATGTCTACTAGAGTGTTTAATTTTAAGAGATATTAGAGAATAGTTTCATTTGATTGTGGGAGAAATTATAAAGACTTGAAACAGCCTAAAATTTTGGGAACTAAATTACATATCTTTCAAAATGCAACTTGAAGAAAATACTTTTTTTCCAAGAAGAAGGAAGTTTAGAATGCAGTGAAATGAGAGTACAAAAATAAGTTTGTGAAGGGTAACATCTAGTGGCCAAGTATGCTAACCACAGGAATTTGTTCTACTTAATGTAAAGATTGCTGCACAATTCTGGTAATAGTACTATTATTGCTTTATTGTTGCAAGTGTGTCATAATTCTAAATAGATTGCTTTTAAAGAAAAATAAAGGTTATCAGCTCATTTGAAGTATTCTGGGTTAGAATACTGCAAGTAGTATTCTATCTGGCATTAATTGGGGGATTTCTGCATTTATGGAGTACTCCAGTGCTAATGATTCATTTGCAACTGTAAGCAAACTATTTGATTGTTGTGCTCCTTCTTCATAAATGCATTTCTGTACTTGTTGGATTGAACTAAAGTTTAGATTATTGGTTATAGGTTGTGATTTTGTTTTCCCTAACAAATAAAATTGTATGTTGTTGGCAGAATACTGGGACAGTTCTACAGATCTTGACGCAGCATACCAGGTGTGTTATTAGCACAGGCTTTTCATAATATCAGCCAAGAGGAGTATTAAAAGTATGATAAGCATCTACCAAGTTACTTCTATTTCTAGATATGTTACCTGCTGTGCCTTTGCACCAGATGTGCCATTATTCGCTACGGGTTCAATGGATAAATGTGTAAACATCTGGCAGTTTGAACCAAAGCAGTTTTGCAAAGGTTAGTACAATTGGTTAGCATATATCGATATACAATAGATGCGAATCTGCCTTATTTCATCAGAAATTCATCGGAGAATTAGTATTATCTGATTTGGCTGGCAATAGCTTTTCAAGGCCTCAGGCCAATCATTCATATGATACTAACTACCAGGAAATGTGGACAGCAGAAGATCCACCTGAATGTTCAATTCTGAAAGAAAACTTTAACAATCCACATCATTCCAATATACTTTTTAGGCCAGTTCCAAGATCAAGAAATACTGTGCAAGCTTTGGAGTTCACCACCACATGTTCTTTATCACAAGAACAAGGCAAAAAAGTGCTAGGTGGAAGGAGGAACATGACTATTGTTCTAAGCTATAGAGCCTGCATTTGGTTAGCTTTAAGATGAAAGTGAGAGGAGACTACAGACATTCAGTTTATGCTCTACCAGATACAGTGGACCCTTGGCTCAGTTCACGACCAAATCGGGTTGCGAACAAAAATTTCATAAAAATTTTGATTCAGGTCGTGAACTCCACATTGGGTGGCGACCGCGATCGTGACCACCCCCCCCCCCCGAGTGGGGAAATGGCCACAATCGTGCTGGTGGGGGAAGATGGCCGAGAT